GAGAAGAAAGGCAGAAAGTAGGCATAAAAATGAGATCGGAAACAAAGACATGTTTGCCCCACAGCTACATCAGGAGGAAGACAACAGTGAGAGAACAGATAAGATAAGATAAGATATTTATTCAGGTAAAGGTACATACATTGATACATTGAAAATGAGTTACAAACATAATGTCGGATTAATAGATAGAGCTAGTACATTCAATGCCTGAAGCATTGGGAGTAGGTAGCATAATAGGGAGCCGAGCGGACAGCACGCTGGACTTGTGATCCTGTGGTCCTGGGTTCGATCCCAGGCGCCGGCGAGAAACAATGGGCAGAGTTTCTTTCACCCTATGCCCCTGTTACCTAGCAGTAAAATAGGTACCTGGGAGTTAGTCAGCTGTCACGGGCTGTTTCCTGGGGGTGGAGGCCTGGTCGAGGACCTGGCCGCGGGGACACTAAAAAGCCCCGAAATCATCTCAAGATAACCTCAAGATAGCAGCTAATACGCACAGCGTTTTGGGGAAGGTGTGAGGGGGGAGAGGGGAAACAAACTTAGACTAAACCTTATTACTAATTGAGATCAAAAACATAAATTGAATTAATACAAAAGGAAAAAAGAAAAAAATAGATAATGATAATTAAATGATGAATAGAAGGCAGAAAATGCAACTGAACAGCAGAAGGTATTTTAACTAAATAAACAGAAGAATACAATTTTCTTTGAGATTAATTGAATTTTTGTAACTAGTTCATGAAGACTGTAATTTGCTTAGCTAAATTAATTAATTAATTGCAAGATTCAGTCCCTGAACCCATTATGTGCCTCTGTAACCCTTTCCACTTCCCCCCACAGGACGGGTATAGGGTGCATAATAAACGAACTAAACTAAAACTAACTTTAAGATTATACATGGCAGATATCAGCAGATAAACAAGTTGGTCAATAGTCAATATTGTTTGAAAATAGCAAGACTTGGGTTGACATTTAGGGGTAAGGTAAGTTACATGGAGTTTATTAGGTACTACTTAGTTTTTGTCTTAAACTGGTTGAGAGAGGTACAGCTTTTGACATGATTAGGAAGATCATTCCACATTCTGGGTCACTTCATTTGCAGAGCATTTATAGTTGGGGTTAAGTCGCACTCTTAGATTATCAAATAGGTATTTGTTTCTAGTTTGGTACCCATGGGTTCTGTTACAACCTTCTAGGAAGTGTTTAAAGTCAGGATTGGCATTACAGTTCAGAGTTTTATATATATAGTGTGAGATTTTTTTTTAAACCTTACTGGGAAGCCAGAGGTGAAGATTTTTCTTACTTTACTTTATTTCCCTTTCTGGGAAAGGTTTTACCACAGGCAGAAAGGACTGCGTAGCCAACACGTTGGATGTGGCACACAACTTATACTTTAAACCAGTGGCAAAGAAAGGCGGGAGCAATCACCAGGACTTCATTGAAGTTGAAGTCCCTACCCATTGATGTAACACTTGATTATATTAACCCTTGGTAATTCTGATTAATACTGAGTAACACTTCCTACTGGTTAAACTTGGTAACACTTTACTGAGGTAAAACCTTGATGATACTAGTTATTGAAACACTGGTAATTTGTATTTAATGATACTCTCAGTTCAGGAAAGCAGCATGTAAAGGATTTGGGAATAATGATGTCTGACGACCTAACGTTTAGGGAGCATAACCAAGCAAGTATTGCGTCAGCCAGAAAAATGATAAGATGGATTACGAGAACTTTCAAATTCAGAGATCCCATCATAATGGTTGTACTCTTCAAATCATTGGTGCTGTCCCGGCTTGAGTACTGCTCGGTACTCACTTCCCCCTTCAGAGCAGGAGAGATTACTGAAATAGAGGGAATACAGAGAATACAGGATCGTCTCAATGCTCTCCAAATGTACTCACTAGAAAGGAGACGAGAGAGATATCAAATAATATATACGTGGAAAATACAGGAGGGCCAGGTCCCAAATCTGCACAGTAAAATAACAACATACTGGAGTGAACGATATGGAAGAAAATGCAGAATAGAACTAATGAAGAGCAGGGGTGCCAAAGGTACAATCAGAGAACACTGTATAAACATCAGAGGTCCGCGGTTGTTCAACATCCTCCCAGCGTCCATAAGAAATATTGCCGGAACAACCGTGGACATCTTCAAGATAAAACTGGATAGTTTTCTTCAAGGAGTGCCGGACCAACCGGGTTGTAGTGGGTTTGCTGACCTGGGGGCCGCTCCAAGCAACAGCCCGGTTGCCAAACTCTCACAAGTCAAGCCTGGCCTCGGACCGGGCATGGGGAGTACAAGAACTCCCAGAACGCCATCATAAGCAGGTAACCACTGTGTCGCACAGTCTGGTGAACGTTTTGCGCTGCCCATAAATATAGGTTTCAGATCTGAACAAATCATAGCTTTTTATACTGGTGCTTTCAGGTCGTTGGTAGTCAGTAATTTCTTTCTTATCAGATCTGAGTGTTTGGAACAATATAATTTTAACAGCAGAGATGGGGATACCTAGATCTAATTCAACTTCATCTTTGTTACATGCTAATTTGGCTGCAATGACTGTCTCATTATGATGGGTTATATTTATGTGTGATGGTATCCATACAAAGGAGATTCGGAACCCTTTACTCTGTGCAGCGATTAGGACATTTATAATTGGTAGTATGAGGTTCTTGCTATCGATCTTCCAGGAGAAGTTTTCGATTGCTTGAAGAGCAGACTTTGAGTCAAAAAATATTATTCCTCCTCCAATGTTTTTTAATGTTGTGGTAGATAGTTGTAGTGCCGCTAGTTCTGCTTGTGTGGAGGTCAGCCAGTTGATTAACCTGACACTGACAGTCTGTATGTAAATATTATTTCTATAAAATCTACATGCTGCTGCAGTCCGTCCAGTTAAAGATTGGAGTGAGCGGTCGGTGTAGACACAGTGCTCGTGAAATCTTAAATTCTCGATGGAGGAAGCAATTGTTTCAAGTGTGACAGTTTTGAGAAAAGTAACATTCTCATTGCTCTGAAGTCTGTTGTCGAAATAACATAACGTTGCATTTAGTAGGGCTGAGGTCTGTTGTCCAAATACAATAACGCTGCATTTAGCAGGATTGAGGTCTGTTGTCCAAATACAATAACGTTGCATTTAGCAGGGTTGAGGTCTGTTGTCCAAATATCATAACGTTGCATTTAGCACGGTTGAAGTCTGTTGTCCAAAGACCATAACGTTGCATTTAGCAGGGTTGAAGTCTGTTGTCCAAAATTCCATACCGTTGCATTTAGCACGGTTGAAGTCTGTTGTCCAAATACAATAACGTTGCATTTAGCAGAGTTGAAGTTTGTTGTCCAAATAACATAACGTTGCATTTAGCAGGATTGAAGTCTGTTGTCCAAAATTCCGTAACGTTGCATATAGCAGGATTGAAGTCTATTGTCAAAATACCATAACGTTGCATTTAGCAGGGTTGATGTCTGTTGTCCAAATACAATAACGTTGCATTCAGCAGGGTTGTAGTCTTGAATGATTTCATTGTTGCCTCCGGAGGCGGCTAGTTTATTGTGCACCCCATACTTATCCTGTGAGCGCTAGCGCAAAAATAATTACGTTGCATTTAGCAGAGTTGAAGTCTGTTGCCCAAATACAATAACGTTGCATTTAGTTGAGTTGAAGTCTGTTGTCTAAATACCATAACGTTGCTGACCAAACCACACACTAGAAAGTGAAGGGACGACGACGTTTCGGTCTGTCCTGGACCATTCTCAAGTCACCATAACGTTTCAATTAGCAGAGTTGAAGTCTGTTGTTCAAATACCATAACGTTGCATTTAGCAGGGTTGAAATCTCTTGTCGAAATACCATAATACCATCTATTTTTATTTCGCCATGAATAACCGTGTGCAAGGGTCGATTACTTCCCGGCCCTCTCTGGTTGTTCCAGTGTGTCGACCTCTCTACCTTCTTCGACCTTTTTCTCCACCTTCTATCTACCTCCTCGACCTCCTCTCTCTCCTTCGTTCTCCCTCGAGTGGTACGACATATCTGACAGTGATAGATTTGTTCCCTAAGGCATAGTTTCCATTGTTCCAGGCCATGTGGCCTATGCGAGAGTCCAGCCTTTTTCAGTTAGACCTTATGTGAGGTTGGTCCTTGAGTGCCTATCCCCACCCCCCCTGTAGGCCTAGTGTTGGGTGATTGGTCATGAGGGTGCCCAGAGACTAGGCCTATAGCTTGCCAGTGGAGGGAAGGTGCCCTCGGGGCGGAGCCAGTGCATCACTTTTGGAGGCTCAGTAGTTCTAAGAGTTGAGCGTGGAGTGGGACTTGGTGTGGAGGAGGTGCAGGTCATACCCCCCGGGGGATGAGATAACAACCTTGTGTCAAGGATTAGTTGCAGATCAAAGGTACGGTGATTGAGTCATTTGTTGATTAGCATTTCACAACTATTGGCCTCTATGAAAGGAAGTTTTATTTAGAATAGGATTTCATTGACTTTTATTAATAAATTATTTTATTTAATTTTCGTGTTTACCTTTCAGAAATATTTCTCTTATCTTCAGTCTTTGAGCATATGCCTTGAGTTGTCGTGAATATTTCATGAGATTCTCTGAGTGACAATAACAGCAATTATACTTAATCACTTGTAATTATCAACAGGGAAGTTTTATTTAATAACCATAATAGAGTCTGTAGTTTATACATGAAACGCTTTTCATAGGAATCTGCGGTTACCTAAAATAACATATAATCAGTGCATCAAGTTTATTGATAAATAATATAAAAATAAGTATCGTTAGGTTTGAGCAAACAAAGTTTTGGGTACAACTACATCGATGGTTTGAAGAAGCAGAGCCACTGTAACCAGTTAAGTTATCCAAGCAGCCCAGCCCAGTATTGGCTTGACTGTGTACAAGTTTGAGCACCTAGTAATAGCTTGGAGACACCAGATACTAGGATACTTAATTACATTTATCCCAACAAGAGATAGAAAAAAACTAGGAAAGGTGGAGCAAAGGACAAATAAAGAGATAATTACAAAGTAGATAAACAAAATTGTAGTGAACGAAATTATGACTAACAATTAAATTACAAAAAATCACAGGCATCCAGGCAAGCAAGCAACTAGAAAGACAAGGGATACAATACACAGGATATAGTAAATACCTGGAAATATTAGTATAGAAATGACAGAAAACAAACACTTCACAACGTATTAGTTTAGAATTCGACAGCAACGGCACTGTTATATTTGAGTATATGAGTGTGGACCGTTGGAGCCACGATGGCGGACTAGGTGGGCGGTGGAGGGCACACTTGGTGCAGCCTGGGGAATAGTTGAATTATCTGCTCTCTGGGATGTCACCGAATTCAGAGTTGCTGAGATCGTAAAGGTTGGCAGACTCCTCGCAGGGAAAGGCCTCATGTGGGTGGGAGCAGGTGAGGGACTCTTGGTTGAACACGGTCTGATTGGCGCACGCGAAGGTGAAGTGCGCCGTCTCCAGGACGGCTCCGGCGTCGTCGGAGATGGGCAGACAGACGTGGAAGAGCTGGCAGTCATTGTCGATGTCGGAATAGTAGCCGTAAGTACGGTTGTCGCAGGAGAAGGTGGTCTCGAGAGTGCCTCCCTTCAGGAGTGCTTCAACGCCGTCAGGAAGAACGTAAGCCATGCGGGCGGAAGCGACGGCGGCGAGGGCCAGCAGGACGACGAGGACAACACGGGACATGATGCTGGCGGGAGAAGAGGAACGTTACGTGAAGTTATCTCTCAGATGGTTTGTCACACGTTACCCCTCGCTGCAACTACCCTCGTGCAGGTACCTTGACTATGCACAAGACTTATGTGCAATGCTGAACTGTTGCAAGCTATAGCAAAGTAAAATGGCCAATAAACCTGTAAATTAAAAGGAGAGTGTTGATAACTTATTTCCAGAACTATGACAAAAATACTTTGCTAACAAAACAAGAACGTCTTCGAATTCAAAGTACAAGAGAGGTTGTAGTTGTATTCATGAGTGTTATAATGGTGGGTAGCATGAAGAAGGTGGACGGTCCCCGGCGAGGAGCCCGTGACGGGGCCAGTAGCAGCTCACCTGGTGTGTGGAGGCGGTGGTGGGGCCGTGACTGATGCAGAAGGCACGGAGAAGGGGTCTTATATACCCACCAGAGGCCGGGCATCACTGGGGACCGCCCACCTACCCCACTCACGCCTCCCCCTGCTCCAGGGGTCTCTACCACACCTTCTGCTGGGGTGAAGGTTACCAACTAGGGCGGGGGAGGAGGTTGTGGTAATTATGACCAGGGGGGATAGTGACCTGTCGTAATGTGTGGTAGTGCCTAAAGGGGAGGTGGTACCTAGGGTCAAGGGTCGTGATGTGTGTATTGCCAATGCATGCTATAGGATGTAGGCTTTAGGCCTAGCACTATACTATGTAATCTTAGGTGGCCTGGACACTGATGAGGTCAGGGACATCTCACTCACCTCATCACTGGGTTATCATGGTCACATCACCTAATTCACTGTCAGGTGCTTGTGGTGCAGTGAGACGTCATCTGACTACTCTGCCTGTTGTTGTTGGTCACTACACATGCCTTGCCAGCGGCTGTTGTTTCTCATCATTACCGTTTTACCTTTCATTATATCTATTACTGGATGAGTTACCCGATTGTGCCTGCTCTCTCTCTCTCTCTCTCTCTCTCTCTCTCTCTCTCTCTCTCTCTCTCTCTCTCTCTCTCTCTCTCTCTCTCTCTCTCTCTCTCTCTCTCTCTCTCTCTCTCTCTCTCTCTCTCTCTCTCTCTCTCTCTCCCTCTCTCCCTTCCATTTTTCTCCCCTCGTCTTTCCCATTCGTCCTTCCATTCTCTCTCTGCCAGTGAACAAAAAATGCTCGAGCTTCAATATTATTTACGTTGAATCAACGTTATTAACCTAACACTCTATCGTTTTAACAACAACAATGTTAAAACGTAAAATCGTTTTAAACATTCTATCGACAATCAAAACCAAATTTCATACTTCACAGGAGTCGCTGGGATTCCAACCAGTCCTCAGATAATCCGTCCTCGACTCAAGTCCATTACATCCAGCGGTCGACCCCACAGACGTATTCATAAATTTTAACAAGCTGTTCATTCAAAACAGGAATTTTCTCATATATAAATTAATATTATAATATATTAGCATATTGTGCATATATAGGCATAGGTTAGGTTAGGTGTTTAGGGTCTGTTGGCGATTATTTGTATTTGTAGTACGTGGGTGAAGCATTTATAGCGTTGTGATTCGAACAAAATTCGTCAGTGAAACACTTGTTCCGGATATGTTCGAACGTCAGCAGTTGTGAGTCGTGTGTAAACCGCTTTTCATTCATAAACAGGGGGTTTGACGGGTGCATGGAATCACTTTTGGATCTTTGTTTGGAGGACGGGCTGCTCACAACTGTTGACGTCCGAACACTTCCGGAACAAGTGTTCGGACGTATTTGTGTTCGGAACAAATATTCTGCTTCATATTTGTTAAACACATCTGGCCGGGTAAAGTGGCCAAACTCGGTGTTAACGGCAAAGACAAAAACAAAAGACGTCTTTTACTCTTCTCTTAAGTTCGGACTATTTGCCTTGATCCTTGCACTGAAATGTGTACAAGTCTCCAAACTTGATACATTAATTGTAAGTGACTCCTTATCATCCTTAAATGCTCTCAACTCTTTAAGACATAACTGTAACATGCTCGTGTCCGAAGCTAGACACAAATACAACAAAATTATTAAGGATGGTAACAGAGTCCATTTCATGTGGTCTCCATCTCATGTTGGCCTCCGAATGCATGATAGAGCTGATAAGTTAGCCAAAGAATCTGCCTTTAAAGGAGACGTTGAGTGTAACCTTGGATTGTCAATGAGCAATCTGAGAGCAGCAGTACACCGAGAACTTCAGCAAGATCTTGTAGATCTGAGCCACAGTGAAATTGACACCAGTAATTCCATCTATCATCATACTATCATGCAAGAGGAGCCACACATCTATGGTTCATCCAATAAAATCAGCAGACTTCTAGATGTTACTACTGCTCGGCTTAGACGCGGTTACAAGTATCTCTGGGAATTCTCATTATCTGCTGATGTAGACCTGACCAAATGTAAACTGTGTCAACAAAATTATTCGCACACCCTCCGTCACTATGTGATGGAGTGCGAAAAGATACGTGAATTCAGAGACAATTCTATAACCAATGTTCCAGCGATGTGTCAATATTTCATTCAAAATGATCTGCTACCAGAAATTTTAGCCAAATATCCCCAGTTTGCTAACTGTAGGTAGTAACTAAGTGATTGTAACCTATCCACCGCTGCCCACTGGATGGGGGGGGGGGAAGTGCAGGACAAACATATCAATTGTGACACTAGCTCTCCACATATGTCAGTTGCTTAATTTAGAACCTGTACTTGAGGTCGATCTCGAACCCATTGTTGATGTGACGACTTATACTGAATTTTGTAACTATCTCATCAAGACTGTAACTTGCTTAGCTAAATGAATTGTGGGGTTGAGTCCCTGAGCCCATTATGTACCTCTGTAACGCTTTCCACTACCGCCCACAAGATGGGTATGGGGTGTATAATAAATTAACTAAACTAACTAACTTAAGTTTGCTTTTCAGTTCAGACATTAACTTCACTGCTGAAGTTATGCTGAATGTCTTGGCTTCTAGTGCTTCAATAGTGTCTGAGAACTTTTGAAAACTGTGTCTGAAAAGGAAGAAATATATCTCAGACGATTCACAAACATTTCCTTCATTTCCGTATAGCACTTCCGCGGTACTTTGTGGCACAACTCCTTACCAAAGCTGTGAAAATAACGCTTTAGGACCTCCCAGCACGTGAGTATTCTGTCAACACCTGGCAAGAGAGGAAGCTGAACACCATCACACTCCAACTATCAATCTCCACAAATTAATATAATACCTTTACCTGTGTTCTTCTCTTAGCTGAAATGGTTATACAAACACAATATTTTCCACAACAATTTCCTGTTTTGTTGTAGCAAATCTGATTGCATCGTGCAAAGTAAGACAGACAGTTTGCAACAATAACGTTCTATTGAGCCATTTTCAGTTTTTTGATAAACACTGTTGTGTTTTCTGACACTTGCACTGTCAGCCGCGTGTGCTGACACGTTACTCAGATCCAGACCTGACGTCTCAAGTTAAGATAGTTGCTGATTTGTCATGGCCTCTGACGGTCCATTGTTATCAATGTAAAAGTCATATAGCACACAGTTCACTCTCTTCTCACAATGAAAGTATCTCAGAAGCAATGGGAAAGACTGTGGCACCTTTGTCTGAACCATCAGTTGCTTCTGTAAAGGGCAAACAAGTTCGGTGACGTACTCCTCGTGTGTTTGTACAAAATACGACGCTAGAATATTTTCACCCAGAGCTTTTGTTTTAGTTACCGCACATGTTAAACCTTTCACTATCAGTGTGTCACTATATATAGAGTTCTTGGTCGACTTTTACTCCACAATCTTGTCAATGACGCTATATGAAGTACATGATGCTGTGGTGCCTCACAGCATGATACATTTGACACAGTTCTGCAGCCATTAATGTATCATCCCTAGTATGCTGGAGCCGATGAGAAACATGGTGACAGTGATGACGTACCGGCACTGTTAGTGTCACCTTTATGTTCACCTGTGGCATCGTGCACCGCTCAACTGCGTTTCCGTCCCGTGCCGCCATCACAACCGCCCTGTGCCACCATCACAACCATCACAACATCATACTACTCAAAATGCTCGCAATTGGTCTTGTCTGGTTTGAGCAATAAATACATATCCATTGGTCCGTTCATGGTTAAATGTAGTCTTTCTTTTAGGCAGTTCTTTAGGGGCCTAATTAAAGCAAGAGATAAAGTCAACCACTCCCCCACTGCGGCCATCGGCTCACTGATCGCCTCAGAATCAGATGTGCATTTGACTGGTCGCTTGACTCGTCTCCTATCTTAAGGGGGTAAAAGACCTGGACTGCATCACGGAATTGCCTTAAAGATGTTACGCTCACTTGTTAGGCTCAGTTTTGACTGTTATGAAAGTTGCTTCCCGAGAAGTCATACCTGTTACTTAAGTACTTCGTGGTTCTTTATAGAAAACAATGAAGTCTGCTTCATGTTTCTTAGACACTTGTGGCCCTGCGGCTCTGCGTGGATTGTCGCCAATAGGAAATATATAAAATTATAAGAAAAATGCGCCAATGGTTATTGTAGTCTTCGGTCCCCGCTGGCGTAGTACACGTAAGGTAATGTATGTAATGCTTTTAGGACAGGTCTCCTGAAAAGGACAATTAATGTCCTGCTTGAGTTGTCGCAGTGCAGCGGACAGAGTGCTCAGAAACAGGACTGTTCTGCTTGAATTTAGCAGGACGTCTGACCTGCTTTTTATAAATTAACAAGCTTTTTTAAAACAAACAAGCTTAATTAACAAACTGTTTTTTAACACTAACAAGCTATTAACAAACTCTGGGAAGAGAGCAACCATATCTTCCAATATTCGTGAGTGTATGAAGTAATTACAGAGCTCAGAATACCTCATATTATTTGGTTTGAAATTCAATGGTATGAGGTACTGTGAGCTGTGTAATTACTCCATACAGCCGACTCATATCACCAGGGCGATATGCTGGAGGCACCGCGTGTTCTATGAGGTTAAGCACCGCTGGGTCTAGCCAGTA